ATAAGTACATATGTTTCAGTAGTGCATGTCATTTTTAATCTGAAATATTAATGTTTACAAATATACAACTTACCTTACATAAAACTTCTACAGGTGTGGACATCTTTTTTTCACTTATTTTTTCATATTTCTGCTTTTTGGTAGCAGCCTTAAGTCCTTGCCAAGGTAAAGACCCACGATTGAAATACATAAGCACATAACCAAGTGATTCCATATCATCACGACGGCTTTGTTCTATTCCAAGATGTGCATTAATTGAAGCATACCTTGCTGTGCCTGTTAAATTTTTATCTTCTCGATACATTATATGCAGTCTTGAACGACTATCTCTATATTTTTTAGCTAATCCAAAATCAATAAGAAAGAGCTGTAATTTTATAAATTATCTGCATTAAGTTTCAATGAAAATTATATGTATAAGTCATGAGGAAGATAATGTCTAACAGTATAAATTATACCTTATTACAGTGACGACCAATACCCATTAAAAAATTATCTGGTTTGATGTCCCTATGAATAAAATGTTTGCAATGAACGTATTCAATCCTACCAATCATTTGATCTGCCAACATTAAGACTGTTTTAAGTGTAAATCTTCTTGAACAAAAAGTGAAAAGGTCTTCAAGAGATGGACCAAGAAGGTCCATAACAAGTACATTGTACTCTCGTTCCTGTCCATACCTGCATGTAATATGGAAACAACAATTATTTATAAGTACTAACACATGTATAGTATGATAAATATAATTTTATTCAACAGAATAAAATATTAAAAGTAATAGTTACCAACGTATATGAGGTATTCCTATACCACCATGTAGAATTTTATATAGCTTCGACTCATATAGGAGTTGTGGATGTCGAGCACGCATGCTCTCCAATTTAACAGCAACTTCCTAAAATAACATATAACATGCCAAATTTAATACACTATTAGGGCATCACTTCAATATACTTATATACATATATACTTGTTGAAGTTGTAAAGTTTCTGTGTTTATGCATCAATTATTGAAATTCAATTCTACATACTTATAATACATCATATAGAAGCAATAGGTGTATAGTTACTTTTGTTTAAGATTTTTCAAATAAACAAGTGTATATTACAAAGTTACACAGAATTTCCATGATACTTTTGTTATGTTTTAAACATTTTCTTAAATTTGCATACACCCAACTCACCTATACAGATATATGTATACTTCATGTAATATGAACATATTTATTTGTATATGTGGTACTTTAAATATTTGATAAGTTTCATTATTACACCAATAATAGAATTACTGTTAACTCAATAATTAGTTCCACATTAGTTTTATTTGTAAAATCAGTTATTTGATAAATAAACCATAGTTCAATGATATACATTATAAGAAGAAGAATTGTATAATATTTATACAATACAGTAGTAAATATAATAGTAAAAATTTTGATATTATTATTTCGTACAAAGAAACAAGACAATATAAGTATGTAATCTATAAACTTGGTAGGAATGAAGTTTAAATGTATATTTTATATGCAACAAAGGAAAAGTTTTGACTACTTAAGTATAATTGTTTAATAACCATTTACCACAAGTGCTTCATCACAAACGTTACAAATATTGATATTTTAGTGACAAACTGTAATTTGCAATCGTTGATTAATCTCTTCCATAAACAATACGTGCATAAATATTCTTTCTAAAATGTAGAGGTTAATCGCGTAGAAAAAGGTTGGATAAACGTTCGCAGTTAAACAGAGAACGTAGTTCGTAGAAATTTTGAAAACAGCCGAACTCGGTAGAGCGGATAAGTGAACGTAACATTACCAAAATGAAAAGTTTACAACTTGCAAATTGGGTAAGAAAAAACAATGGGTATTTCACGCAACCAACAACAATATCATGAAAAACATATGTCGTAACAAGCTTACTGGTGGTATAACAAAAAATACTTTTCCACGATATACATTAGGTAAATTACTTGTTAAAAAGGGACGAGAAAAAGAAAAAGAAACAAAGAACACGAGAAGGAAGATGTGCTGGCAGGTCGTCTCACATGAAACGGTACTCCTTACCTCACCATTAGAGGTGTTGATACCGAGGTAAATGTCGCCAAAGGATCCTGAGCCAATCTTCCTCAACAGCCTGTATTTGCAACCCACGACAAACTCATTCTTTGCTACTGACATCGCCAACGACATCGACATATTGCTCTTGGCTTCCCTACTTCTGTCCTTCCTCCGCTAGAACCGACGGCGGACTCTGCGACTGGCTCACGTCGGAATCAAACCTGATTTAAAGTACTGAGCGTACCCGGTAGGACTTATACGCCATTTACTGGCAAACTCGACGATGCTGAGCCTTCTCGAAGCTGTATCGATGGAGGATTTTTTTCGGTAAAATCTGTTCAGGAAACCGTAGCCAAAAGTCACTCTCTAGTGGCACAACAAAACCCCACTAATACGCCGACATTTTCCCTTTCGCTAGAAGCACGAGAGCAACTGACGTTGCGGAAACGATGCGTCACAGCGGGCGGCGTTCAAGTCAGTCCTTATCAATAAATCGCTAACAATTAACCAAGGTATGTTTTTCATCAAATTACCCGCAAATCTTCTATTTAAATAACGAGAAAGATTTCGTTTAATCGTGGTATGAGTTTAGCATCGTCTCGAAATTTAATTGTACGAAATGACTCGCTTGAATTTGCAGTACTAGATTTTCCTCAGGGCCGTATCAATGTCACCATGGTTCTTACTGTGAACGACGTCTTTCACAGTGACGTCTACTTAAATAAAAACATGCATTGTTAAAATGTAATTTTTTTTTCTAATTTTTTTCGCGCGATTTTTTTATATATTTAAAAAGGAAATTGTTTATCGGAAGGTTAAATGGAAATAAAAAATAAAAACGGAACAAACGAGAACTTTTTACACTTTCGTTTATATTTCATGCGACAATGACATGGATTAAACAGATGAATTGAAATATTTGTAAAGGTTTGATCTTTTTTATTCGATATTAATACATGTACGTTCTAAAATACTGATTAGCAAAAGTATGAAATTACGTGCTGTTAAGTATTTCTTTCATGATGCAACCAATGTAGTGTTATAGATTTAAGAATTTTCAAATGTACACAATTAATATATGTATGCGTACGTAGTATTACAGACAATAAGTATAATTTCTATTGCATATACGTATAATGCACTTCAAGGCAATATGGGTCAAAAGTACTATTACTTTTTAAACAATTTATGCTTGTATATAGGTACACTACTGATCATACCGGAACCTTGTGCTACTTATTAGAAATTGATAGGAAATTCCCTGATCGTTTCTCATTTATTGTTTTCATTAAATAGAAGAGAAAAAATGCTATTGCGACATGTTACAAGACTTTCTCGTTTATGAACGATAAGAAAAATATGTATGTATATTGTGTTATTTGAAAATTTCGTAAAGTTCTTAGCGACATCTAAGCTGTGCAATATGGTAAAATAAATTGTATGTTAGTTACAAAATTTTTTTCACATATATATTGCAGCAGCTGATGTTGTATTAAATTTTGAACGATCGATGGCAATTCTTTCACAAAGTTTAATACAGTTGCGGTTAATATTAATGAGAAACGTTTTCGTAAATATAAAGAATTGCAACAAGAGATCCATCATGACAACTCGTACGAAACTTGAAAAGGTTTTACAAAATCTTGAAAAAAATCCTTTTTATGATAAATATGCCAGTAAAATAGCGAAACTTCAACAAACTAGCCCAGAGGAGTTTTTGGATCGTGTCGAAAATCAAGAGAAGAAATTTCAAAAGAAGACAGGTATAAATAGTAACCTATGTAATATGTATAAGTATTTCGTGCGTATTATTGTTAATATATTAAATGAAAATGGATCCAGTATTTTTGCTCGTATGTCATATGTTCATTATTATTTAAAATAAATTTTCTATATCAAAGTGTGAATGTGTTGTATATAACAACATGCTATTTTAAGTATAAGAATTTAGATTAGAGTGTTCTTTAATTGTAATGATTAATCGTAAGTATTATGTGTGAATTTCATTTTTCTATGTGTATGTTGTTAAATTGAAGCAAAACAGGATGAAGAGCTGAAATATTTTGATAGTCAAGCAAAACCACAGTTGGATCAAGACAAGCAACCTCAACAAGCACAATTAAACAGTATAATGAAAGTGGACATGATTCAGGATAAAACAAAGGATGAGATTATAAATATTTGGAAAGATTATCATAAAGATAAAGATTATATATGTGGAATATTAGCACCAGAACAATTTGATAGAATGTTTGAACGTGGGAAACGTTATCCAACATTTTTGCTGCCATTACCTAGAAAACATGGATATGAGTTTATTGTTAGTCAATTCTATGGGCTAGAAATTCATATGACACCACTTTTGTGGTATCAAGCGCATAAAGAAAATGCACCAGAATGTTTAACTATAACTCATTATACAGAATTAAAGGATGACAAAGGCATTATTCTTATGCGTGGTGAATTTGATAAAAAATGCATTAATGTACAAGAAGCACAGTGTTTAGTAAATGAACTGCAATTATATTATTCTACAGATAATCCTAAGAGATTGCAATTGTTGGAAAACTTTTCTGACCAACCTGACAAATTCAAACATATGGATCTCATAGCACAATTAGAAACAATACAATTAGAATTAAAAAATAACTGAATATTTGTAAAATATACTCTAACTAT